TGTGATACTTTATGTATGGTGTTGTCTTTTGTGGTGTGTTTACGTGGTGGGTGTGTTTGTGGTGTGTGTTTGTGGGATGTGTGTTTGTGGTGTGTGGGTGTTTGTGGTGTGTGTGATGTGTGTTTGTGGTGTGTTTGTGTGGGTGTTTGTGGTGTGTGTGTGTGTTTGTGGTGTGTGTGATGTGTGTTTGTGTTTTTGTTTGAGTGATGTGTGTGTTTTTGTGTGATGTGTGTGTTTTTGTGTGCATTTTAATGTGCAACTTCCTAACTGGAACTATTAGATTACTAGTAGTAGCTTAACAATGTATAGTTAGTATCTCACCTTTGTGCAAGTTTATAGTAGCAACCAAATAGTCTTAACGCATAACCTCAGAGACCCTTAGACTAAAATATGATTTAATTTTACCAGGTCTTTAGTCAACTTGCTAACTGGAGGTATGTTAGCTTCGTGCTAGTAATAGCAGCCTCACTAAGTATTCTATCTTTAAGTGGAAGTTTTATAGTAGCGGCCACATACTCTTAATGCTGAGACGCCCACACAGACTCAACTATTTTGTAGCGTTCCAAGTCTGAGGCACCACTCGCTAAATAAACTGCTGCATCTTTTTTTTCCAGAAGCTACCTGGCCCATCACAAATGATATCGGCTTAACCAAGTAGCTGAAATCATCATCATCATCGTCACATTTATAGCAGCAGCAGCCACTGTGTTTGGGTTGCTATCATTCGTGATAGCCCAAGTTGCTTCTGAAACAGAGCTGCAGTAAAACCTTGGATTTTGTGTATCAGTTGTGGTCACGTGACACTCGGCAGACAAAGCGTACACACGTACTCCATTGGAACCTCTTGCCAGTCGCAAAATATGATAATTGTTTTTTTACCCATTCATCTGGCAACAAAACGGACACCTTTTTTACGAGGAGTCATAATTGCATAGACCACAATACCTACGGTCGAAATGCAAACTAAAACACAACTCTGATAATGTATGCACTGTCCTTGAAGTTGATTGGTCCACACCCGAGACAGCTTTCCTTAGAGCCTAGTCTCACATGGGTTGGACCAGATGATGCCAAAAGGCGCACAACTCAAAGACAACTGCACCATCAGAGTATGAGAGCTCGGGGTGAAGCATTTACACCATTGGAACCTCATTTGCCAGTGAAAAAATATGATAATTGTTGTTGTACCCATTTATCTGGCAACAAAACTGACACCTTTTTTACGAGGAGTCATAATTGCATAGACCACAATACCTGCGGTCGAATGCATTCTGACCTCAGGTATTGTGGTCAATGCAAACACGACTCCTTGTGTAAAAAAAGGTGTCAGTTTTGTTGCCAATTATTGTATACGTACTACTCGTATTGCAAGACCTCGCTCGGTTTATCAAATTAATATTTATTTAAAATTTTTGCTCGTCTTGCAAAACACTCGCAGTCCAAGTTACTCGCAATCCAAGGTTTTACCGCAGCTCTGTTTCAGAAGCTACCTGGCCCATGACGAATGATAGCAGCTTAACCAACTAGCTGAAATCGTCATCATCACGTGGACTTTTATAGCAGCAGTCGCCACTTGTCTGGTTTGCTATCATTCGTGATGTCCCAAGTTACACCTGGTACAAGTATAACCCGTAAAAACAAAGTTTTTCACTCTAAATCCTTTATATGTGTGGCGGCTAGAGTCCTCTCGTCTTCTGGCTTGAGATGGCCGCCACCTATGGGTCAGATGATTGCATTTCACCATTAAGCAATTGGTAATTAAATATAATATTTTTGTCCTAAAAAGTGTAAAATTTTGGAGAAAATTTTTTCACGAACATTAATTGTCTCGCACGACGAGTCTGTGTGCAAAATGTCAGCTCGATTGGTTCACGGGAAGTGGGTTAAAAACCGAGCGAAAGATTTGCACGGTCCTAAGCAAGCAAGCAAGCGAACTTAATATAAAGGATTTTAAAAATACAACATTCTATTGTGGGTCTATGCCAGAGGTCGCAAACGGGTTTTGATTCCGTACCCGGCCGCACCAGGGTCGCAAACGGCTACCCGTACTTGTACCCGGCCGTACCCTACCCGCACCCAGCCGGGTACGGGTACCCGATTGCGACCTCTGGGATGAAGCCACGTTGCAGGCGCGGGTGGGTTGATTCTAGGAACTTGAATTGTGAGAAGAGACAAGACGTTGGGAAATGAGTGACAAACGGTGACTCGCCAGTGACTCGCGGTCTACCCGTACCTGTACCTGGCCCGGTACGGGTAGCCGGGTATCGGGTAGGGTACGGGTATCGGGTACCCGGTTGCGACCTCTGGTCTCTGCGAGGCTCCTAGAATCGTGGCGTTCGGAGTATTTTTCTGCGATTGTGAATTACCGCGTGGTAAGCCACCTCCATTGAGCTGTCGTCTTTGATTGCTCGGTCGCTTCTGAGGGAAGATTTTCTCAGCGTAGTGGGTCTTGCACCTGGTGACTAGAATAGTTGAGTTTGTGCCTCTGTGACTTGGTCTTTATGTGGGTCTCTTGAGTGTGGGTCTC